GGAAGAAGGAAACAATGAAAGAACACATGAAGGGCTGCAGCGACGGTTGCCAGGTGTTCCAGGTGTTTCATGTCTTGAACGCGTTTAGCATCCCCCATTGATACAGGTAATATACACGTTATGTCGCGAATGCAGTACTCTATTGTATCTTTGCTTCTGAGGTTCTGGCAACTGCGATTTGGGAATGCCGTCTTTAGCTTACAGCAGGTACAAATCCGTAATTGATATTCCTGGCTTTTATATCGAAATACAAATGAATATTGTGGCATTGTATCGCGTTGTATCGCCAGTAACGCTCTGACAGGTGGGTATATTGGAAAATAATACCCGAGCTACAAAGGAGCAAGGTCAAATATGCCCTTCATTTCACAGTTCTCTCACATATATTGATGATAAGCACTCTGTAGAATACACATTAGAAACGTTACACTCTTATGACCTCGGTCGAAACAAAAGGGACAGTTTGGTGTCAAACATATGAGGGTTCAACGTGAGTGTCAGGTATACATGCGGGCATGGGTGCTGCGACCGTCTCGGTAGTCTAGTGTGTTCAGTCAGTTCGTCATGATGACTGACCGGGAATTCGGCAAATATTGTTGATCATGGAGGATACTGGTTGGTAATGTCATTAACTCGGCATGGGAAAATGTCGCGGAGATCAGAGAAACAGTACAGCTGAATATCGTGTTGATACCATTCATATCGTTCTACGTGTACCCGTGAACTTTCTGCTTATTGTTACGGTTTGGAATGATATTAATAAAGGACACAATGCAAAAGGGTTTACATAACTGAAATGCAGATGCCTATTCAGACTGAAAAGTGCACAGACTATTAGTCTCCAGGGTGTACTCAGTTACGGCGCAGTGCCTGATCACAATACATCATCCTATTTGGATAATAATTCCAAAAGCAAAATCATTATCCTCCTACCATTGTCAAGATTACTCATTTATTCTTGAATGGGTCAACAGAATTTCAAATATGTTTTAAAAATTTAGTCACATAACATGATCCCCATCTCATTTCCTTCTTGGCAGAGGAATGTTTCTGCTGTATACGATTCTCTGACAAATGTTTTCTAATCATGACCAACTGTCTACACCAAAAACACGATTTTGCTGACTTGCAATCAGTGTGTTTGTTTTACGTACGATCTGCTGCAGTGTTTCTTGGAAACACCCAAGTACCTCTCGCTGGAGGCAGCAATTAAATATACATGTTACAACAGCAAACAATATACCCGCACATCTTGAAAACCTATAAGCATTCAGGCAACCTGAACGCACATTACAGTTACAGGGAGTTCAAAAATCATTGCACTTACAAATGTGCCAATGTAAACAACGCATAATTTGTCATCAGATGTTAAGGGAATAACACATGTGCTCTGACACCTTCACTATAGTGACACACATAATATCCCAACAACACTGCGCAGCAACTTCACGGTACTACCACACTGTATATAGTGATAGGAGGAATGGTGGGTGGCCCGGTAGCCGAAAGGCGCCGCCATTCGTACATTTGCCTCAATTAGCCGTGCCAGGTTCGGCTGATCTTGGGTTCGAATCCCTGATAATAATTAGCATAATACCCGTTCTTGTGGGTTTCACCAAACTGGGGGGCACGGGTGGCCCTGTCATCTAAGGCGCCGCAATTCGCTTTGCAGGGTTGCGTCCCTTGGGCACGCCAGAAACCTATGGTTGTGGGTTCGAATCCCGGTTCGCCCCGATTATGTTTCTAGGTTTGTTAGCACCATACCCGGGCACGTGAGTTTCACCGAAGTGGTAAACGTTTGAGACCTCAATCACTTCGGTCTTTCCTCCCAAATTAGGCTGACACGCCGTGATATAACTGCAATAATGTTAAAAGCGTCGTTAAACCCAACTCACTTCACCAAACTGGTAAACGTCTTCGACCTGCATCGCTTATATCTATCCTCACATTGTCACTCTGTGATATGGTCTGAAATATTGTTTAAAGCGGAGTTATACCATCTCACTCATTAACTTACTATGAACCTGTGAAGATCCGGATTGGATTTGGCCTTCAGCAACCATGCTTGTCGTAAGAGGTGACTAACGGGATCGGGTGGGCAGTCTCACTGACTTGGTTGATGCATATCACCGTATCCCAATTGTGTAGATATATGCTCATGATGTCGATCACTGGATTGTCAGGTCCAGATTCGATTGTTTCCTGACCGCCAACATATAGCTGGCATATTTATTAGTGCGGCGTTAAGCAGCAAACAAACAAAACACACGCAGTGTGTAGCTCAGACGTACATATTTATTAATAGCATGGCTAATGTCAGCGTTGATATGAGCGGTGACATTTTGACGAGATTTATATGAGGCGGTGTATGCAGTGTGTCACATCTATACACCTATATGACGGTGTAGGTAAACGATCACTCCACCCCGACCCCCACCTCTCCCACCCTATTTCATATCATATTTCAATTACTTAAACCAGAAAGCAGGGCACGCAATGACCTACAGCACACGGCGTGGGCCGGATGTGTATTGACTGAAGTAAACCAACTGTCAGTTGAGATACTAATAATTGTATTGTTTGCATGTATTGAAAAACTTAACAAATTTACTGATACGCGGAACCACAGGGTCGTACTGCACAAATTCTGTCCCCTCTTTTCAAAGAGGAATCCGCGCATGATCAAAATGATTTTTCTCCAACGAAAATAGTCAGTACCTAAGTGCACGACATTATGGCAAGCCGTTTTCACATTTATTACGGAATTACAGATATCTTCAATTGTTTTAGAGATATCGGTATTTTATTTAAAGATATCAATAATGTTTTTAAGATATCAAAAAATAATTACAGATATCTTAAATTCATTTCTGATATCCATAATACAATTACTGATATCTTAAAATGTTACGGTGATATCAACAAATTAGTTTGTGATATCTCTAAATGTATTTAAGATATCATTAAACAATTACCATCCTACATAAATATATTAGAAATAAATTCAAGATATCTTGAAATAAGTTATACATATCCACAAATGCATTACAGATATCTTTAATTCAATTAGAGATATCTTTAATTCAATTCCAGATATCATTAATTCTGACCGTTACTGATATCAAACATCCAATTAAAGATATCATTAATGCTTTTAATTATATCTTTATATCAATTATTGATATCAGTTATCTAATTTAAGTAACATAATTAATGTAACATCTTTAATAATGGCAACAATTGAAGATATCAATAATTAATTATTGATATCTGTATTTAGTTTCAAGATATCAGGAATTGAATTAATGACATCATAACAAAACATGACATTTTGATATCTTTAAATCATATTTCGATAGCAATAATCGAATTTAAGATATCAGCTATTCTTTTCAAGATATCTTCAATTCCATTCAAGATATCTTCAATTCATTTCAAGATATCTTTAAAATAATTGAAGATATCTTAAATTTTATTGCAGATATCTACAATTATCTGCATTTAAGATATCTTCAATTCCATTCAAGATATCTTCATTTCCACTCAAGATATATTCAATTCATTTCAAGAAATCTTTAAAACAATTGAAGATATCTGTAATTCCGTAATAAATGTGAAAACGGCTTGCCATACGACATGGTGGATTACACATGTATACGTATAATTATATGTGTGACGTCAGACGGTGAGTGCACGAGGAATGACGTAATACATTGTGCACCTCGGCATGCAGTTATCATATACACGGCAGAACAAGCCGATTAAACTCGTAATGTTTTACAAATTGCAGCGCCATCTAGCGTTCTTTTTTGAAAACGTCCTTTCGTGCTCACTGACGTTCTATCGTACACATTGTTCTTTCTTTTCTTATGACGTCTTTTCGAAACATTTGACTATTAATATTGCGTACTTTTGACATTTATTTCAACTTTTTATGTTTAACCCTCGTCTGTTTGTTTTGTATTTTTGACCTTTAGTAGTAACATTTACTTCTTTATTCGTAATATTTGATCTAAATTGCGTACTTTTGTCCTTTTTTCAACTTTGTTTTTTTTGACCGAATGGCCGCCTATACAAGCACTCGTGAAAGCAAGAATGAATGTATGTCGTCGCTCTTCCGTGAGCGAAGGAGTACGCCGCTTTTTGCAAAATTCCAGTAATATCACGGCGGGGAACTCCAGAAATGGTCTTCACATATTGTACCCATGTGGGAATCGAACCCGGGCCTTCTGCTTGACGAGCGAACGCCTTAATCACTTGGCTACCCCACCGCCTTCAGGCTGCCTGAACGTCACATGACGGGCATGCATAGCAAGCAGTTCTGTGTCCGAACTTTGTTATTTATTCTTTTTGTGTGAATAAATGTTTTTAATATTTTTAACGACAAACATGGGGAACTATGGATCAATTTCAACCCAAGGCGCCAAAGCATTTTTATGCAGGCACTAAATATAAAGTAACATTTATATTGGATTATACATGTTTTATGAAAACATTTCATTCGCAATGAATGAATTTACCAGACATGGAAACAAGTGCACTCGTTAATGTTAACTTTTGAAACAAACTTTATTCACAATTTTTTCGTTTGCAGTTTCATTTAGACTGTACTTGGAAGAAGACATCGCGTGCTGAACGGTTGCGGTCTTTGCGCTATCTTGCCTACCAGTTTACCTGACAATGCTCGTCATTACCGCTAGTTACGGCATTAGTTTCAAGCCTATTAATATTTAATGTAACACTGCATATTATTGATCCACATTACACCCCGCGGTATACCTCTAATGTCTCCCTACTCGGCTGGAAATTTTGGATCATCGTTCAAAGTAACAACCGAAGTTAAAGTAAAGATTATCAAATACTTGTATTCGAGAGGGGCGCGAGCTTATCGCAAATGTGACAGGTTGTCAACGTGCCTGTAGTTCTTGTCGTCTGCTACTGTTGTCCATGACGACGCACGTGCCAACTTTGAACTCAACGGTACATACACGTCCCGCTCTGTTTGACATACCACTACCACGGTGTCAGCTGCCCAAAAAATGAAATTGATTTGTTTCAGGCGATTGCTTTACTTTCCTGATCGATTCCCTGTCACAGATCGATAACCTGTCCGCGCACCTTGAAGACTATCGGCGGAGGGATATGCGCTGGAAGTAGTGCGGCCTGATTGTGACACAGGTTTACACCGTTATTCCCTGGCAGTGGGCACATATGTCCCACCTTGATAATTCTTTGGCCGTCTTATGTACACACTAACATGTAGTGAGAGAAGCAGTTTAAGCAGTGTCTCACCCAGGAATTTATACCAGTGGACAGCGTTATGGGGTGATCATCTCTCCGTAAGCAATGTCACGCCGTCAGCAAGCGGCCGTACCGCCGCCCCCGACCCCGGGGCCGGACCCGACCGGGGGTAGGGATAGCGGCGGCGAGGGAGGAAGTATGAATGACAGCCGCACTAAAGGCGGGGGAGAACAAACTTTGACGGTGAGACAGCGTTTATTAAAAACTACTTGTAGTTTATGTAACAATTTATAAAATATTGTGTCTATATTTTGTAATTCTTTAACACAAATAGTGTATGACGTTAAATGAAAGGGATTCATGTCAATAATTGATATGTGCTGATGACAGTCAAGAAAATAATGTACGTTCTTCCGTTACCTTTCGTTTTTCAGTAAGCTTTTTTCAACGGTTAATTTCGCCAGTATAACTATAAGTACTGTATCGCGACATTGGTTCTTCTGGCGTATGCTTTAGCTTATGAACTCAGGAATGTCAGCATTCTTTGTTGTTTCGTGCCAAATTTTCGCCAATAAAACGTTTGTTTATAATAATTGGCAGTTGACGTTCAGGTAAGGCAATTTTGGTGCGAGGCTACATACAGAAAGGCGTTCATATCTCATTGTATATCAGTATGTATTTCAGAATACTATGCGGGCACAGTATGAAATGTTCTCGTGGCCTTAGGGTTTGACTCGGGTATTGAATACGGTTCTGCTTGTTGGAACAATTATCAGCTCGTTTATGGGTTATGGGACTGTCATTTGTGTATGTGTATAGCGGGTAGTGTTGACTCTGAAAGGCGTTATACGGGTTTCTATGCTCAGTGGGAACGTGGCCGGGCATGGTTACCCCTGTCCGAGTCAACTGGTCGGACGATATCATGATTAATTATGAAATCATGCTGCTTTCGCCTGGAATTCTCACGGTCAAAGAGCATTAGTACAAGTGGGATTAGAGCCGTAGACCATACCTCCGAAAAAAGCCCAGATTTTCTATCTGTAATGCGATCTTCGACCCCCATACAGATACTACAGCTTGCCTTTGATGCAAAATAATAAAATGTTCCTAAAGAAGGACGGGATATTGACTGACAAGTTTGTGCATCTATTTTTATGCTGGTTGGTCTCCTTTCATTGATACACCTGCTTAGTTTTTATCATTTGCAATTGTAATTGAATCAGTGGCTCCTTATACAAACATGCACTTGATGAAAAACTAACACCCCTGCTGTTGTCATGACTTGCTGAAGGTGTGTTCAGCAAGGTTGAGGCTATTTGCATTTGGTTTAACTGACTTCATAAATTTTGTAATACATGCGTGCAAATGTTTTGTGTGTTATGCCAAACGGGAAGTGTTCGTGTTCCCTTAAGGAGCTCATAAGATATTTACTCGTTTGAAAAAAGATAATTGGGTTTAAACTTAGGTAAGGTATTGAAAAAACTCAAGTTGTATGATTCTTTTGACTACCACTACTTCTACATGCATGAGAAATGTCCCAAACTTGTACATGTGTGTTCAGAAACACACTTGTATTTTAGCATTGCATTTAGAAAGAAAATAATTGTCACAGCAGTTTGAATTAACACTGATAAATTTTATTATAAATAATAGATCCCAAAGCTTTTGAGTATTCATAAAGGTGTTCCAAGAAGGCTGGAAGTGGTAGCTAGAACCTTCAGAATAAGGAATTCTTAATGATGAGAAACAAAATCTGAAATGTTTCCCCCACCTGCCAGTCAGGATTTTTCACACAAAAATCCTTAAACCAAGAAATAATGGCTTCAACAAGTTTCTCATCTGAAGGTGAAATAAAAGCAACAAAACCCTCTCATGAGACATATCCACAAAAAGCAAGTGATTGTACGATTCCAAATCTATCATGAACAAGCGTTTATGAGTCACTATCAAATAATGATGAAACCAGGTGTTTGTAAAAAGGTAAGCGTGTCCTGCCCCAACAGTAACACCCATCACAAATACCTGCAAAAGCAAGTCATGTTCATATTCTGTTTCAGTGCATGTATGGAAACTAGAAATGAAATAATATTTTAGATAAATTTTAGGCTTTTGAGCAAAACATTATTTTCCTGGTAAAGAACATGAAAACCAAGATTTGTTCAGCTTCAACTAGAAATGAAATAATATTTGAAATAAATTATAGGCTTTGAACAAAACATGTTGTTAAGACTTCAATAAAATAAGTCCAGATTTGTTCAGCAGGTTTTATCCAGTGACAAAGCAGTGTAAGTTGCCAGGTCATTCACTTGGCAGTTATATAAACAGTCTGAATGAATAAGAGAGTAAGCATTGACTTAGATTAATTTTTTTTTATAGCTATGTGGCAAGTTGTAAAGCACAAGACGGTGACATGTGGCAGTGTCATGAACTGATATCCTGTTTGTATTGTAGTGTATGGGAAGTAAGCAAGGGGAAAATATGTTGTGCATGCTGTATAATCTCAGGCTCATGGCCTCATTCATCCAGGTCTGTCTGCATATTTGGTAAGATAATGGCATTTTTAAGTGAGTCAAACACATATTTTTAACAAAATTGGTTCTCCAAAATAAAGCTGAATTCTAAACCCCAACAAGTCACAGACATTAGACTATTGGTTATCGCTTTTCATACTTCAGTTACCAACTTTGGACTGATTTGTCAAGTCCTGGGTGTGATGAGTACCCCAGACATTGCCAAATATATGGATAGGAAAATTGGACAGATTTGTTGTTTCTAGAGTTATGTTAAAATATTTGCCCTTCTGTGATAATATTCATTACCAGGGTTAGGGAAGTGTTGCTGATGACAATTTCCATGGTGAACTTCTATCCCAGTTCAGAGCTACAGATAAGCTGCATATTTGCATAAAATATTCCCCCAAAATATTCAAAACCCAATTAGTTTCAATTAACTTGTGTACAAAAATGCATGCATTTAATGGAAAACTCAAATGTATAAAAACAGCATGTGTAAATACTCAATGAAGCTTTTTGAGCATGCGTACAATGAAGCAAATTTCCGAAACACAATTATGGGCTAATTTACTTTCCGAGTCAAGCCTATAGTTAGAACCCTTATATACATATAAAACATTATTTTTTATTTGGTTTAAAATCTCAAAATGTTTACTCATTTTGGGGAAAAAAACCAATAGAGTGATGAATAGATGAGTGAAAAAATATTGGTTACCCATTGAAAAATGTAATAACCCAATAAAAATAGAAACCTTCAAGTAAAAACTCAATTGCTCAAAAATTCACCTGGAGCTCTGCCAGTTCTGTCAAGATAGATAAGGAGACCTCTTTTACTTTTGTATCCGGATTTGACTGACCACAATCAGGAAACATAAACAGTAGTTTTTATTTTCATTTTCTTTTTATGATGACTAGGTCTTTGATGGATTAGAAAATTGATAAGGTACAACTACAAAAATCCAACAAAGTATTAACAGTTTAAATAACAACTGATGTAATTCCTTGTACATAGTCTCTGGGCACTACTATCTTGATGTGGAGAACACTAAGCCGTCTCTGACAGTAGTAAGTATACATGTGACCCGTGAAGATCCGGAGTAGAATAGGTCTTCAGCAACCCATGCTTGCCGTAACAGGCGACTATGCTTGTCGTAAGAGGTGACTAACGGGATTGGGTAGTCAGGCTTGCTGACTTGGTTGATGCATGTCATCGATCCCAATTGCGTGGATCGATGCTCATGATGTCAATCTCTGGATTGTCTGGTCCACTGTCAGACCACTGTCATATAACTGAAATATTGCTCACTGTGGCATTAAACAACAAACGACAAACATACATGTGCCTGTAAAAGTAGTTGACATTCTGCAGGTTTAACAGAATCAGCATATATTTTCCCTACTAAACCAACTGACCCAAACAACTAGCATGACTATATGCCAAAATAAAAGTTAATATACTATGCAAAACAAATAGCATTTAGAAGTTGAGGGGAATTGTTTTAGCAAAATATGATACTTTAAGATACTTTTATTAAAACATATTTACACAGCGAGTGATTTCACTATGCGTCTTTGAGTGTGTGTATGTCACTGGATAATTATATATGTGTGCACTAGCACAATAGAATGCACATTATTTTTCCAGTAAACATTACAATGAAACTATTTTGATTTTTAGAATACCTGTTACATACTTTGCTTATATGAGACAGACATTCTTAAGGACAAATCTTGATCATGGCCATATTAAAATCCATCTAATCATAACAATCAAGGATAAAGACAATGACCCTGCCAACCTCCTGTAGGTGGTTCTCAGTATTCAAAATAATTATATCTTTTGAAATGGACGCATTGCTGTATGCTGCAGTGTATGATATGGAACAAGTCCTGTAATTGTGTAGTGTCTAGTTACCTGGTTAGAGGGTATGTTTGGGGGTACACAGGTAGGGATGTGTGGGTCAATCACCGGTAATCTGCTTATACCACAATGACACATGTTGAGTGGAACGGCTTGATTTAGCTTATTTACCAGCACTTTGTCTGGTCTCACCTCTATAGGTCTGTGGAGGTCGTACCTATTTATGCACCCAAACTCAGATCACTAGTACCTATATTAAATATATACAGAATATTTGTGTTTACTTCCTTGCATTTACTTGTGCACATTTCAAATAACATATTTTCAGTAATTTTATGTCCCTATGTCTTATTTAGGTTGAAACTAGAATTGTTGATCAGAAATAAGAATTGTTGCCATTGTTTATTCACACCTAGTTGATGTTTCAGTGCTGATATTAGCATGTGTTTAAGATGTGTAAATAAAGAAGTCATTCATACTATTGTTTCTGTTTTTTTGTACTAACTAAAAAATGCCAATGGAATTTGTTGTGATTATTGAAAGATCAACTATTAATAGGTAGTACGAACCTAGTCTTATTTCCATATTAATATATATGAAATTAGGTTTGATATGTAACAAATGTTATATTTGGGATAACACTTTCTTAGTAAAGTACAGGGAGCCATGCCAATTTACGCTTGTCAGAGGGGTACTCAAAGTACGTGATCTAGACTACCAGTTGTCAGACTTTCATTTTTGTGGAAGCCTCGGTGGCTGAGTGGGTTAGATCAATGACTTTGTGTGCTGGCGATTAGGTGCCTCACTCTGGCAAGTGTGGGTTCAAATCCCTGATGGGACTCAACCCCAAAAAGTATGCGATTCTGTAC